AATCAGTGTCTCTGCTATGAACCTGAAGTCCAGGTTCAAATTTACATTGCTTTTAAAGGGTTAGTCCACCAGATATTGATGTCCTACATTTTGAATAGTTCAAGAAAGTGCAAAAATAGTGCTGGACCTGTATGGTTATCTTATTGCTATTGTTATTATATCTTTAAGGCATTGGTGTTGATGGTTCCTGGGCAGGCGGCTTCTACACTTCAGAAGATCTCCTTGTCTGGTAGTGTAATACAGAAAAAATGTAAATTGGCATGCCACAACACTGCTAAAAGGTCCAGATACGACTTTATTCCAAAAAAGGTCTGGGGGACAATAGAGAAAAAAAATGAAAACAATTTATATTCAATTTTTTAAACGGTTTTCTTTTTTTTTTTTTACATCCTGTCATCAGATTTGTTCAGTGTTACTATAGTGACACTCTACTACTCTGGAGATGTGATTTAGAGACTTTTTTTACACTGTTATAACCAATAGTTTTACCTGTCATGCAGGGGTGGACTGCCCATTTGGAAACTCGGGCACTGCCCAAGGGCCCGGGGTCAGTAGGGGGCCCCATGAGATGCCCCTGGTACCTTTTTCATAGGCTTTTTTGAGTTTGGGCAAAGACACAGTGGCCCCATGATCCCCTATTGCCCGGGGGCCCCATGAGTTGTCAGTCTGCTCCTGCTGTCATGAAAGGGTTAGTATTCATGACAGCTTAGTTACTGTTAACATGCTGTAATTGGTTACAGCTAATCACCTGTTACAGGTAGCCAGGTTCCATGTGATAGATGTGAGCCAATTGCACAGCTTCACAACACTACGTAAGCAGTCATGAATGGAAACCGTCCCATTAGTACATTTTTTTTTTTAAGGTGTGCAAGCTCCACGGCTGCCATACTGATCCTGGCCGTACTAGTTTAGGTTCTGTTGTTTGAAATCTCTATACGATGCTATACTTTTGTAAACATTTTTAGATTTTAGTTGACACATTGCAACCTTTTTTATGCTTAGGATTTGTCTCTTTCAAAAGATACTCTCACCTTGCCCATGCTGGGCAAAGTGACAGTTTTTTGTAGAAAAGGCAACCCTAAACTCCCACATTAACCTTACCTGCGCTTCCCTCGTGGTTGTCTGCTCCTCCACAGTGGGTACTACATTTGGCTGTGTTAGTGACCCCAGAAGTAGTGATTTCACACTACCCCTAGATCATGTGACAGTGACTAGTGATTGACTGCAAGGGACAAGTATCCTCAGAGATAAGAAGGTCCATTGCTCCCCCATATCCATAAGTGGTGGGTATTCTTGCCATATGTGGAGGAGCAAGAAGGTTGGGGTTGCCCCAAGAAGGATGAGTAAGTAGTAGGAGTAAGGTTGATCAATGAGGCAAGGATCATCTCACCAACTGGTACACAAAGAACCAAAAAAAAGAAGAGAGAGACGTAAAAGAACAGGGACAACATTTAAAATTTGAGAGGCTACTCAATTCCCAAAATGAGAATTTAAAAGGTATTACATGGTTGCTTGCCAACTAATTTAGAACAGAAAAACAAGCCATTACGCTTCAAGGATCTGTCTTCATCAGAGCTGAGCAACCGTATACATGGGCACAAGTGTGAGATGAAGAGCAGCTCTGGATGAAAAATAAATTGGGTGCGATGGATAATGGTGTCTCATTTGTATTAGACTCTATGTGAAATTCACTGTCTGCAACCTTCCTTTAAAAAATTTTAAATTCAGTTTCAGTATTGCACTTGGAAACTCGGGCACTGCCCAAGGGCCTGGGGTCAGTAGGGGGCCCCATGAGATGCCCCTAGTACCTTTTTCATAGGCTTTTTTGAGTTTGGGTAAGGACACAGTGGCCCCATTATCCCCTATTGCCCGGGGCCCCATGAGTTGTCAGTCCGCCCCTGCTCCTGAACACAAGTTTTGTACATTCAAAAAAATGACTGTAAACTCAACTGCCTGTAAACGATGATGTGTACATGGACACATAGGAAAACATTAGGGAGAGTTCAGGGGCTGCTGAAAAAAAAACGCAGAAAAGCTCCTAAACGTGAGTTTATCAGCTGCAGTGTACATGGACCCTAAGTGCACTTCTCCAAGTCTTTCAGGTGCTCCTGGTCTAGGCACTCTTGTGCAAGCTCCTCCGGACCGAATATTCCCCCTATTTATATGTATCACAAGGTGGAGAGCAGGCCCTAGAAAAAGCCTGGGAACCGAGGTTCTACAAGTTAACACCTTCCCCAGCCTGGACAGACCAGCTAACTAGACAATACATACAATTCCCTGTAGGCACTGCTTACATGTGGATCATCGAAATGCAGTTTGTTTTGTAAAAAACAATTAAACAATCAACAATGTTAAACCTTCTGAATCCTTATTATGGCATGCTCCTTTTCTAAAAGCCTAGATTTCCACTCCCAAATGTATTTATTTTTTTACAAAACCTGTAGAGAAAGATACTGTGTCAAGACAAAAGTATGTGAACCTCCTGGAAAAGTATTTGGGCTTGCTTTGCAGCTTCAGGTCCTGGACAACTTGCCATAATCAAGGAGAAAATTAATTCCCAAGTTTATTAAAATATCCAACAGGATAATATCAGGGTGGCTATCCACCAGCTGAAGCTTGATTGGGTGATGCAGCAGGACAAAGACCCTAGGCATCGAAGTAGATCAACCACAGACTGGCTTCAGAAAAAGAAAACGTGTCAAATCCCAGACCTTAAACCCTGTGGAATGACCACAAGAGAGCCATTCATACCAAACATCCTACAAATGTGTCTTAGCTGAAGTAGTTTTAATGGTCAAAAATTCCTCCTGAATGTTGTGCAGGTCTGATCCAGAGCTCCCGAAAGCACGTGTTTTGAAGTCATTGCTGCCAAAGGAGGTTCGACCAGCTGTTCCGGTGCATATTGGGCTCATAATAGTCATAGATGGGGACTGGAAGGATAATAGGTCCAGATAATTGGACATGAGGAGCCTGTAGACCCCCAAAGAGCTGACAAGACAGCATGGAATGCACATATTGTCGGGACAGGATGTCTGGACTGGAAGTGCATTCCAGCAAGCACTTCCTGTATCACATGTCATCACATCCGGTCCTACAATCAATGTGAGAGAGGCCAGTGATGCAGACGCAATGGGAGCAAAGGGACAACATGTCATAGCTCCCACCCCTACGGGAAATATCAAATGTAGATGGAAACATATCTCAATGGCTAACCTGCAAACCTGCAAACGACTTTAGGTCAGGGCTGAGGGCTCTGCAGGTCAGTTCCCTGATACCTCCACCTGTGCTTGAGAATTGTCTAGAAGGCAATGGGTGGGGGTGAGGAGGGGCTGATCTACATACTCAAGGGACTTTGACCAATCCCCAAGTGGGTGGCTTGGCACGGGGTCAGGACAGCCCTTAAGTATGAGAGAGCCTGATCAGGAAGTGGTCAGTGTCGGGTGGAAGATGGAGTGTGAAGCGTGGTAGGGGGCCTAGCAAGGGCCTACCTTTAGGCAGGAGCTGAGCAGGAGGATTTGTTGGCCCAAACCTCCCCCTGACAAAAGGACAGCCTAGGAAACAGGGAAGGAGCCAGCCTAGTGTAAGGCCTGAAGGCAGCTACTAACCCAACAAGTTTGCAGGAGAGGACTGACTGAGTAATCCTACACCCCCTGGGCCGGATAAGGGGAGAGGGCAAACAAGTGGCTAACCCAACTAGCTCCTCGTCTGGGGCTACTCTAGTACAATGGCAGTTTCTGGGTCCCCTTGCTCAGGGATTCTCTTAGGCAGCTGAGTGAAGAGAAGGATTCATCTGGGGTCTGAGGAGGTACACCAGAAGGGCTGGAGAGCTCTTCAAAGAGGAACTGTTTGTCTATGGACTTGTATATAGTTGCTAAGGAGATTTGTCCTCATGCTCACAGTTCCTTTGGCATCCATACATCCCTCAACCCCATCCAAGTTCAATACCCCTAATAAAACTACAAAAACAAGCTCAAGGACTGCTTATCTTCTACAGAGTGCAAGTGTGGATGAAAAATGTGTGCTACCTGGCTGTGCAGGACTATAGGGGGACCCAAAAAACTCCTAAGGGGGTAGTGATACAAACTTATGTGCAAGAACAAGAGAAATATTTGGTGCACTAAGAAGAAAAAAAACAGATGTATACTGTGATGGCTAGTATATTTACCACATAAGTAAAGTTCTTTAAAGTCCAAAGGTGGTTAAGGGATATTCCAACAATGCTTGACTCAGTGGCAGTCGATTCAAAAACAGCTAGAAGAGACTCTGTGTGAACCATAAAAGAGATCGAAGCAGCGCCATCTAAGTGCAGCAATATAAGCATATAATGTATTTTTCCCACAAAACTGGCAACTCACAATAGTAGTAGTCAAATGAGTGCTTGTCAAACTGGTGTCAACTGCGGGACTAGCCAGGAGTTGCACAGCAGTTGACACCAATTTGACAAGCACTCACTTGACTACTACTATTGTGAGTTGCCAATTTTGTGGAAATAAATTATTTGCTTATATTCCTGCACTTAGATGGCGCTGCTTCTCTCTCTTTTATGATACACACATATGGCCTGTGAACTTACAACTCCAATAAACTGCGCATATTTAACAACAAGCATGGCAAACGTTTTTTACTGGAAGCACTTCTACTCTCATCTTAGAAGACCTACTTATAGACAGTATATGGTCATAAAACAAGTTGGCAAATAATTGTAAATGGAGACACAGGCAAGTGATATTGCATCCATGAGTCCCACATGCTTTCAATCTGAGACTTTATTATTTGAATGATAATGGCTGCAGATATCAAAAAAATCCCTAAGTGCAGCAATGTAGTTGTAGCAGCAAACATTTCATCAGCCCACCACCCACTGCAGCATATGCTACAACAAACAAAGGGATACAGCTAAGGAACGCACTCATGGATCATCAACAATCCACAGAACCCAGTCTGAGAAAACACAGCTCAAGTAGATCAAGCAATATAATTGGAGAGGAAGGCATACGTACTCTCACTTTGTTCTCCTGGCGGTGCATAGAATGAAAGGCCCAGAGAGACGATGGCAGCAATTTCTAGAATGATGAGAGTCACATCCTGAAGGGCTTCCCAGACTAACTGCAGGAAGGTTTTGGGTTTTTTGGGAGGTATGAAGTTCACACCGTATATTTGCCTTCTCTTCTCAAAGTCTGCTGCATTATCTGACAAACCTGCAAACAGTAACAAAAAGCAATGGGTTATAAATGAATATATCTCTTCAAATATATTGATGTTTTAAAAACAAGATATTGTTAACACATACTGTGTAAAATAAAGACATTGCCTATGCCAACAAATTGAATTAAAACAGCCTCTCTCAACCAGGATTCCATTGAACTCTTGGGTTCCCATAGAACAGGGGTCCACAAACTTTCCAAGCAAAGGGCCAGCTTACTGTCCTTCTGACTTTGAGGGGGCCAGACTGTGAGTAGAAAATGCCCTGGGAGTAAACAATGTCCCATCATTGGTATCCATTGGAGAGGATATTTCCCCATTATTGGTATTAGAGTGAGGAATAGTTCCCCATTGTTGGTGTCAGTGGGAGGAATGGTGCTCCTTGTTGGTATCAGTGGGAGTAATAGTGCTCCATTGTTGGTATCAGGGGGAGGAATAGTGCCCCACTGTTGGTATACAGTGGGGATCGAAAGTTTGGGCACCCCAGCTAAAAATTTGTATTAATGTGCATAAAGAAGCCAAGGAAAGATGGAAAAATCTCCAAAAGGCATCAAATTACAGATTAGACATTCTTATAATATGTCAACAACAAAAGTTAGATTTTATTTCCATCATTTACACTTTCAAAATAACAGAAAACACAAAAATGGTGTCTGCAAAAGTTTGGGCACCCTGCAGAATTTATAGCATGCACTGCCCCCTTTGCAAAGCTGAGACCTGCCAGTGTCATGGATTGTTCTCAATCATCGTCTGGGAAGACCAGATGATGTCAATCTCAAAGGTTTTAAATGCCCAGACTCTGACCTTGCCCCAACAATCAGCACCATGGGTTCTTCTAAGCAGTTGTCTAGAAAACTGAAACTGAAAATAGTTGACGCTCACAAAGCTGGAGAAGGCTATAAGAAGATAGCAAAGCGTTTTCAGATGTCAATATCCTCTGTTCGGAATGTAATTAAGAAATGGCAGTCATCAGGAACAGTGGAAGTTAAAGCAAGATCTGGAAGACCAAGACAAATATCAGACAGAACAGCTCGCAGGATTGTGAGAAAAACACAATTCAAAACCCACGTTTGACTGCACGATCCCTCCAGAAAGATCTGGCAGACACTGGAGTTGTGGTACACTATTCCACTATAAAGAGATACTTGTACAAATATGGTCTTCATGGAAGAGTCATCAGAAGAAAACCTCTTCTACGTCCTCACCACAAAAATCATCGTTTGAACTTTGCAAATGAACATATAGACAAGCCTGATGCATTTTGGAAACAAGTTCTGTGGACCGATGAGGTTAAAATTTAACTTTTTGGCCGGAATGAGCAAAGGTACGTTTGGAGAAGAAGGGGCACAGAATTTAATGAAAAGAACCTCTGTCCAACTGTTAAGCATGGATCAATCATGCTTTGGGGTTGTGTTGCAGCCAGTGGCACAGGGAACATCTCACGAGTAGAAGGAAAAATGGATTCAATAAAATTTCAGCGAAAGTTTGGATGGTAACTTGATGCCATCTGTGAAAATTCTGAAGTTAAAGAGAGGATGGCTTCTACAAATGGATAATGATCCTAAACACACCTCGGAATCCACGGGGGATTACATCAAGAGGCGTAAACTGAAGGTTTTGCCATGGCCTTCACAATCTCCTGACCTCAATATAATTGAAAATCTATGGATAGACCTTAAAAGAGCAGTGCGTAACAGACAGCCCAGAAATGTCAAAGAACTGGAAGACTTTTGTAAGGAAGAATGGGCAAAGATACCTCAAACAAGAATTGAAAGACTCTTGGCTGGCTACAAAAAGCGTTTACAAGCTGTGATACTTGCCAAAGGGGGCAGTACAAGATATTAACTCTGCAGGGTGCCCAAACTTTTGCAGACGCCATTTTTTTGTTTTCCGTTATTTTGAAAGTGTAAATGATGGAAATAAAATCTAACTTTTGTTGACATATTATAAGAATGTCTAATCTGTAATTTGATGCCTTTTGGAGATTTTTCCATCTTTCCTTGGCTTCTTTATGCACATTAATACAAATTTTTAGCTGGGGTGCCCAAACGTTCGATCCCCACTGTAAGTGGGAGGAAGGGTGCCCCATTGCTGTTGTCATTGGGAGAAATGGTGCTCCTTGTTGGTGTCAGTAGGGTGGATAGTGCCTCAAGGGCTGGATAAAGGCAAGCAAAGGGCCACATCCAGCCCCCAGGCCACAGTTTGGAGACCACTGCTCTGCGAGTGGTTCCATAAGCAAATTCTTTATCTTAGATATAATACCACTGACACCAATGAGCGTTCCAGACACCTGTAAGGAGCATTCTTCCCATTGACCACCAATGTAAGGGGCATACTTCCCACTAATCACCAATGTAAGGGGAATTCTTCCCACTGACCCTCAATGTAAGGAACATTCTTCCCACTGATCCTCAATGTAAGGAACATTCTTCCCACTGATCACCAATGTAAGGGGCATTCTTCCCACTGATCTTCAATGTAAGGAACATTCTTCCCACTGATCTTAAATGTAAGGAACATTCTTCCCATTGACCACCAATGTAAGGAACATTCTTCCCACTGATCACCAATGTAAGGAGCATTCTTCCCACTGATCTTCAATGTAAGGAACATTCTTCCCACTGATCACCAATGTAAGGAACATTCTTCCCACGCATCCTCAATGTAAGGAACATCTTTCCTACTGACCACCAATGTAAGTAGCATTCTTCCCACTGATCCTCAATGAAAGGGACATTCTTGCCACTGATCACCAATGTAAGGAACATTCTTCCCACGCATCCTCAATATAAGGAACATCTTTCCTACTGACCACCAATGTAAGTAGCATTCTTCCCACTGATCCTCAATGAAAGGGACATTCTTGCCACTGATCACCAATGTAAGGGGCATTCTTCCCACTGACCACCAATGTAAGGGGCATACTTCCCACTGATCACTAATGTAAGGAGTATTCTTCCCACTGACCACCAATGTAAGGGGTATCCTTACCACTTATTACATGATACAAGAGATGGTCAGAGACTGCAAACAAGCTGCAGTAGACTGTTAGACACAAGGAACATGCTATTGATAATGTTGGAGACTGGAGACATGCTTCAGGAGACAGTCATAGACTGGAGACATAGTACATAAAGCTGCTAGTAATGACTTCTATAACAGGTTAATAGGGAAAAATCATAAAACAACAGCAACAAAAAAGTTTTGACTATACATACACTTTTTACTACAACTGAACAGTGTAGACCTTCCATTAAAATATAACTAAAGGCAAAACTTTTTGTTCTAGATTTGAATATCGTAGAGAGGGATTTGAACCCCTGTCAGGTTTTTATTTCTGCCTGTGTCCCTATTATGGAGATACACACTTTCTATTCCTGTTTACCATTATCACTGAGACTGAAACAAAATCTGAAATTTCGGGTTGTCACCAGAACAGGAACAGAGAGAAAATCGTCCAATGGAGACACTAGTTTAACCCCTTCCCAAACCTTTAAATGTACATCCGGGGCCAGAAGGTTTGCCTAATCATGTGACCATGTGATTGGCTGGCACAACAGTCACATGATTAGGAGTCAGTCTTGCGGGTTTTCAGTCATTAGTACAGTCCAAGAGCTGACTGGTCTCTGTGCTGAGAACAATGAACTTCTATTATTTGCTCCTGTTTTGCTCTGTTCAATAAGTGCAAGAAAATGGAGCTGCCCTGTGCACACTTCTTGTGTTATCTCAGGGGGTGTAATTAGCCCTCCTTAATCTTATCTTGGGCAGCAGAACAATTAGTCTCTATAGTGTAGAAACTAGGAGAGCTGCAGAGCTTAATTAGTGTATCAAAAGACAACTGGGCATGGCTGACACCACTCAGTCCCCAGAAATACTGGGTGTTGTCAGCCTGCAACAAAACTGAGCTGACTGCATATTTTGGAAGATCAACTGGTACTTTTCCATACTTGAAGGAGATAAAACATTGAGAAATGTGCATGTATTGCAGAGATTTACTGCACATACAGTCAGAGCACAGACACAGCACACACAGAGCACAGTCAATGCACATACAGTCAGAGCAAAGACACAGCACACACAGAGCACAGACACGGCACACACACGGCACACACAGTCAGAGCACAGACACTGCACACACAGTCAGAGCACAGGCACGGCATGCACAGTCAGAGCACAGACACGGCAAACACAGAGCACAGACACGGCAAACACAGAGCACAGACACGGCACACACAGTCTGAGCACAGGCACGGCACGCACAGTCTGAGCACAGGCACGGCAAACACAGAGCACAGACACGGCACGCACAGTCTGAGCACAGGCACGGCAAACACAGTCTGAGCACAGACACGACACGCACAGTCTGAGCACAGGCACGGCAAACACAGTCTGAGCACAGGCACGGCACGCACAGTCTGAGCACAGGCACGGCAAACACAGTCTGAGCACAGGCACGCACAGTCAGAGCACAGGCACGGCAAACACAGTCAGAGCACAGGCATGGCACACACAGTCTGAGAACAGGCACAGCACAAGAAAGCAGAGCACAGACACGGGAAACAGTCAGAGCACAGACACAGCACACACAGTCTGAGAACAGGCACAGCACAAGAAAGCAGAGCACAGACACGGGAAACAGTCAGAGCACAGACACAGCACACACAGTCTGAGAACAGGCACAGCACACAAAGTCTGAGCACAGGCACAGCACAAGCAAGCAGAGCACAGGCACGGCACGCACAGTCAGAGCACAGGCACTGCACATACAACAGAAGTAAAGAGCATACAGAGGGGGGATTTGCACTGACACAGCATGCAGAAATACTAAGCACAGTAAGAGCATCCATAATGGAATCACTTCCAGTTAGAGCACACACACCATACAGGGAAGACAGTGCCTGAGAAGATAGGACAACCTCTGTCTGTTAGAACACCATGGCCAAGTTACTGTCCCAGCCTTTAGTATAGCACTGATGATCTTCTTGCATGTAATGCATTGACACACGTAATTAGGAGATTTCCCTGCTGGGTGGTGACTGGACTCTACAGCAATATGGCGGCTCGGTCTGCACACAGGCACAATATGCTTAGCAGCATAAGAGACAAGGACAAGATGTCTTTGGAAAGATGGCAGATGTCTGTGTAGTCATTTAGCACAAGCTATATCTGTGGAGAATCTATATTAATGGTCATGTGACTATTGCCGTAAGCACGTTGTGGTCAGATGTAACCTGTCTTGGTATATTGCAGTAAAATAAGATGCATGGACGAATTGTCTTTTAAAGTGTTAATTCCTTGCTTGAGAATCATTTCAAAAAACACAGCGCTATTCTATTGTATAGATAGAGGCCATCAGTGTAAGTCACCTAATGCATTAATGACACGCAGAGAGCTACAGGAATCCAGCGTTCTGTCATACAAAGGTATATGGGGTCATGCCGGCTGGAAACCTAGGACGTGGCAAAGTACCATGGAGATTGCTGTACTCATAAAGCCTCTCTGATGAGCCATTGGCTAACATCCGCATATAAAAGTCATATCTGTGCTAATAAAAGTGGTTGTAAACCACCAACTGGAAATACGAACAAAGCATATCCCTCTATCATATGTATTTTTCTCAATTAAGAGCACTAAGTGTCATTTCTTTCTGCTGCTTCTTTCTTCTGTTATCTGCATGAATCACGTCTGACAAGGTTTCCTGGCACCAAGAGAAGAAAGGTGACAGTGGAGGAAGCTCCAGCACTCAGCCCGTGATTGACAGCCTCAGCTCTGTTCCTGTGTACTGTGTGGAGGAGGGTGTGTCCCTTCCCTTCAATCAGCTCTCAGAGCACTCCTCACTGAGCTCTGCAGACTGTAACTTCAACTCTTTGCTCCCTTTTTTCTGACAGCTTAGACAAGCTTTATAAATTATACACTTTGGATGTAGAGGAGAGAGGGCTACAGATAAACAGGTACAACATATGTAGGAGGATTAGTCCAGTCACTTCACTGGGTATATGGAAGGGTTTACAAACCACTCTAATTCATCATTGTATTTTTTTTTTTTAATGCAAGCAGTTTAAGACCATGATGTAAGGGAGATTCTGATGTAAGGGGGGACTCTGATAAACACCCTGATGTAAAGTAGACACTGATGGGGACCCTGATGTAAGGGGGTTCTGATAGGCACATTAACATAAGGGGGGACTCTCTTGGGGACATTGATGTAAAGGGGGATTCAGTTGGGGACTACAATGGGCACAATATCGCAAGGGGCAACTCTAATGTGGACACCTATGTAAGTTGTCTACATTGATGTAAAGGGGACACCTATGTAAGTTGTCTACATTGATGTAAAGGGGACACCTATGGGGACACTCATATAAGGGGGGACTCCGATGGAGACTGTTATGGGGACCCTGATGTAAGGGGAGCTCTGATAAGGATACTGATGTAAAGCGGACTCTGATGGGGACACTTGTGTACGATGTTCTGTGACTTATTAAAGAGTTTTGCTGCCTGTGGATGGTGCCTAGTCAGCAGCTGACCATATTTTCTGAACAGACTGGGTCTAAGGAGTTATGGCAATGTGGCATTTGATACAGAATAGATTTCAGACCGGGATTAATAGTTGTCACCCTAGGATAGGAAATATGTTACTGTCAGAATCACCAGGTGAAAATAAAGGGGGAAAAAAAGAAAAAAATCATGCAGCCACTACAGGACTGGTAAACTGCAATCTGACACATTTCTATTCTTGGAAATAGAAGCACTTAAAGCACTTCTTGCTCGCTAGGAATAGCTTGCAACTTCAGTTCTTAACCGCTTGCTGCCCATGGCAATTTTTCAACACACGCATGTTAAAATTGTTGTTTTGCACACACATATTAAAATCAGCATTATTTGCTAGAACTTACACCCCCCCCCCCCACCCAAACATTATATATTTTCTGAAAAGACTATAAGAACATTCTCTGTACATTGATTATCTGAAGTAAAACTGTGTTGGATTCAACTTCTTTGTCTTATTGAAGAGGTAAACTGCCTGTGGATGGTGCCAAGTCAGCAAGTGGCCATACTGTCTGAATAGAATGGGTTTAAGGAGGTATATCAATGCTTAAAGCAGCATCTGAAATAGAACATTCCCAATTTTTTCAGCACAAGGACCTACAGGTAAAATCTGTGGCCAGTTCACACACCTTGCAGTAAGTAGAGGTTTACTTTAGCTTTGAGCAATCAGATTAACTACCTGCCGCCCACCCATAGTAGTTTTAGTGTGATACATACAGGCAGGCTGGACAACATACCTGTACGAAGCCACCTGTCTTCTGGAACCCCTTGTCGACCCGTGCTGTGATTGGACACAGCATGAGTTTGACAGCAGACAGGGGTAGACAGACAACTCGTGGGGTCCCTGGGCAATAGGGGATCACGGGGCCCCTGTGTACTTGCCCAAGCTCAAAAAAGCCTATGAAAAAGGTATCAGGGGCATCTCATGGGGCCTCCTACTGACCCTGGGCCCTCGGGCAGTGCCCGAGTTTCCAAATGGTCAGTCCGCCCCTGACAGCAGATTTCAGCCAATGATTTTGACTGAAATCAGCTGTGTCCAATCACAGAAAGCTTTCTGTGTTTACAAAAACACAGAACTCTGTGTGCATAGGAACA